ATAATTTTAATATTCTTTTATTAGCGAATTTTTTACTTTGAACTTATCTTCTCTTAGCCAATCAAAATTTGTTACGTTACAAAATGATCTACAAAAACTAGCCAATCATAATGAAAGCCCTCTATGCTCCCGGAAATAGCAATTAATATTGCTCCGGGGATCCCCGTAAGCCGTTAAGTTTGTGCGGTGTTATGTCTGGGACTTTTTTCTTTTTCTTTATTTGGTATAGTCTGGGTAAATGAATATCGTGGCGTATTGAAGCTTATGACTCCCGTAGTGAGTTAGAAGCTCCCGGAGAGAGTTTAAAGCTCCAGGCTAAATTTACGAATATATAAGGATGTGGTTTCAGTCTGCAAAGGGAATAACGGTTGTTGAACGATTATTGTAATAATCCGATATATTGATTTATGTTAATGAAGAGAAACCCTATAACCTGTAATTATATGTATATGTTAATAAAGAGAAACCCTATAACCTGTAATTATATGTGTTAATTTATTGGTTTAAACCATTTAACCTTAATCACTATTTGTTCACGATTAAAGCTAAATTAGTCAAAGATACTATAAGCTCTCCCACCGGTCGTAACAGCGGCATAGCGCTGACCGGTGGTTTCCCGCCTGCATGATGCAGGCTGGCCGTCAGTATAAACATGTGATATTGATATTTCAGCGGTTATAATTATGACATGTGATTATGAGAATGCGATTATGAAAATGACAGGCTCCGCTGGGAAATGGTAGGTTCCCCTGGGAAAAATGGCAGTTTCCACTGGGAAAAATTGGTAGGTTCCACTGGGAGGGAAGGGCTGAGTTGCGAATTGTGGTCTACAGCTGAGTTGACAGTTGTCAGCGTAGCGTTTCTCTCATGCAGCCTTTATTGGGTTAGTCGTTGCCATATACGGAAGGTCATTAATTTATAATCATTTGGGTTTGATTATGTGGATTTAGCCCCGAACTTGAATGCTCGTTGTTTCTGCTGCCGACTTCACAGTGTTACCTTGCCCTGCCTATCATCTTTTCGATCTATTGACTTATGTCGATT